CACATGTCCTTCTCAAGGTTTACATATAGAGTAGTAGTATGTGGGTAAGAGATACTAGTAGAAGCATAATAATGATCCACCTTTTGGACGGAGGGTCACTCACTCCCTCGCTAGATCTTCTTTCGCCCCTCCCTCCCATCGGATCGATCCGAGTGTGAGCTTAGCTAGCACACAAAGAGCTAGATTGCCAAGATAAGATCTACACTGCACTCACTGCCCTCTTTTGCTTGTCACTTTCACAAAAGGGAGGCAGCAGGCAGGCCGGCCGACTAGCTAGCGAGCGAGCAGCTATTAAGCTTGTGTGGTTCCGCCGTGGCCATTAAAATCTTTGGGTTCTCCCTCGGTGTCGAGCTGAGCTAGGCGTAGCACAAGAAAGAGATATGTCAGTCCCATGCAGGAATAGTAGTATATAGGCCCTTCCTTGTGTGCTAGTATTTCGTCCTGCGATTAACTATCTCGCCTGGCCGGCTACCCCTTTCTTCCCGGCCGGTTGGTTGTTGGTGGGGTGTGTGGAGCTAGTGGTGTAAGATTGAGGTAGCTCAAGCTGGAGGAGGACAAGAACCGGTTGTCCAAGGGCTTAGACCCTTGGAGCAACCCTACCGCCGCGGCCACCACCAGCACCCTGCACTACCTGCTCCAGGAGAAGGAGAGAGCGCAGGCGCAGGCGCAGCTCCAGATCTACCACCAACAAGGGTTCGGCTACCTCCACCAACACCGGAGGCAGCAGCCAGCGGGGGGAGCCGCCGATGGCGGCAGCAGCGGCGAATCCACGCCGGTGGCGGACGCCCTGGCGACGGCATTCGGGAGCGGGCGCATAGTGCGGTCCGCGGCGGGGCGCAAGGACAGGCACAGCAAGGTGTGCACCGCGCGCGGGCTGCGCGACCGCCGCGTCCGCCTCGCCGCGCACACCGCCATCCGCTTCTACGACGTGCAGGACCGCCTCGGCTACGACCGCCCCAGCAAGGCCGTCGACTGGCTCATCCGCAACGCCAAGGCCGCCATCGAGGAGATCCCCAACCGGACCGAGGAGGCGCCGCCCACCGCGGAGCCCGAGGCTGCCGAGCAGATGTCCGAGCAGGTGACCTCGACGTCGTCCTACGGGTTCGGCAACCCCAGCGGTACTGCCATGACCAACTCCTTCCTTCAACATTCACTTGGCGCAGACCAAGTCTCCGACAACGTCAAGTCCTTGTTTCCTTCCTCGTCCACGGCCACCGCCAGCGGCCACGATGAGTACCGGGGCTCCCCGCCGGACCTCCTGTCGCGCACCACCAGCAGCCAGCCGCAGGAGCTGTGCCTTACCCTCCAGTCCAACCAGCATAACATGTTTAGCCATGTATCTCCCAACCATCACGGTATCATGTCGGGTGCAGGCGTTCCAGGGTGGCCAGACCACGGCCAGAGAATGCCATCGTCATGGCATACCTCGGACAACAACGCGGATGGAGAGGGCCGTGGCGCCGGCGGCAACGGCGACAGCTACATGTTTGCAGGCATCCCGGCGCGGCAAGGGCTGGACCAAGGCCAGCTCTTCTCGTCCAATGGGGAAACCCTTCAGTCCAGTGCCGGCTGGGCCGCGTCTGCCCGCGCTTGGCTAGACCCTCTCGCCGGAATCCACCAGCCGTCGGCAATGTCTGGGCAGATCGGATTCAGCCATCTGGTTGGCGGCGGCGGCGGGTTTATGGGGTTCCTCGCGCCGGCTGCACAGCGACTCCAGCTCCAGCAGGGCGAGGAGGATGAAGGAAGCGACGTGATGCGAAGAGACTGATGAACCGGCCGGCGCATGAGGTGTGGGATTTCTGTTAACGCACTTCATTTGATCCGGTGCTCAGTTGTATGTCATTTTATGTAGGGTTTATGTCATCAGATTTGTCATTAGTTGTTACGACTTTTATATTCATTCATGCATGTACAACCATGGCTTAATTAATTAAGAGTACGTTCCCTTGGACCTAGACAGCTTTACTGTTGCATTAGTGGCTGCTGTTGCTGTTTTTCTCCCCTTTGATTTATTCTGAGCATGGACAAGACACGGCGATGATGAGATGAAATGATCTGATGATCTTGACGGTTTGCCCCCTTTGGATATTTTAATGTTTCTTATTTGACTACTCTAAGGAATATTCAAAGACTTTTAGCAAATTTAAAGGTTGTCGTCCCTATAGCTGACTACATCCTGATGATTCCATAAAGGCCCCTAAATTTCTGCAGCCTCCAGTAATATCTACTCCCTTCGTTTGGAAATTCTTGTCAGAGAAATGCATAAAAATGAACGCATTTGAAATCAAAATCCGTCTAGATACATTCATTTCTTCGACAAGTATTTCCGGATGGAGGGAGTAGCTATAGGCAATGCAGAGGCCAGCAAAAGGGAGTTAAATAACTTAAAATATGGCTGAACTGAGAAAGTATTCGATCCACTACTGTAGCTGTTAGGAGGGGCAAGTGTAATGGAAATGCTGTTTGCTGCTTCTGCTATGTCCATGCTGCTGATAATGATAGGGGGGCAGGCAGGAGGAAGGGCGGAGATCTGCTCTCGATGCCTCTATTATTGGAAGTGAGTGGCATCTTTACCTCTTCGCTTTCTCTTCTTTTCCTTCCACTGTTTGGGGGGTATCTTTTTGCTCACCGGACTGTGAATCTTCTGGAATTGCATGCTGTGTGTCGACGTTTACCGTACTTCTGACACTTGCATGAAAGAGGCTGAGACAGTAACAAAACAACATCCGCCTAGTTTGGCAGTGGCTCGCCGGTGTGTCTTTCTGCTTGTTGTTTCAAGCCTGGGCTGGGCAATTGATTAATTGCACTTTGCATGCATGTAAGATGTGAGGATCCATCTCTTCTGATTTCTCTATTTGTTTCTGAGTTCATGGAACAGTTTGATAATTCTGTCTTCAATTTCCCCGCAAGAACAAATAAGGCGCACAATAATTAATCTATCATATCATACCAAAATAGGTGTTAGTTTGCTTAAGTCATACTCCCTAATTCTTGTCTTAGATTTGTCTAGATACGGATACGGAGTATCTAGACAAATCTAAGACAAGCATTTTGGGACGGAGTGAGTATATAATAGTTAGTCTATTCATGAAAGTGAAACTTGGGCTCAGATTATTTTTAGTTTGTGGTTGTTAAACGCGTGTTGAGTTAAGCTAGCGTACCATATAATCTGCTGTTAAAAATACACACAAACTTTTTTTTGGAGTGTCCACCTCATGATTTTCAGAGCAGAAACTGCCGCGGCTTGAGTTACATCTTACCTAGAATTTTTTGAATGATTTTATACACCATGTTACCTTCTCTCCCCTTCCCTAGTACTCCCTCCGTCCCATAATATATCAAAAACGTCTTATATTATGGGACAGAGGAAGTATTATATAATTATTTTATTGTGTTGCTTTATCTTTAAATTATAAAACCAAAATTGAGTCCACTACTCGCGTGCATCTATTTGAAAACCATGACCAGATGTCCTAAGAAAGAATGGTATAATAACCATGTAGGTCTACATGTGATGATCAAGCAAATGCATGTAGTTTGGAACACATAATATATGCAATTTTACAGGCTGGCTAGTTTTGGACTGGGCTTCGGAAAACTGGGCATGAAAATATTGAACCCATTCTAGCTTAACCCAAAAAATACTCCCTCCATTCCTAAATATAAGTCTTTTTAGAGATTCTAATATGGACTACATACGGAGCAAAATGAGTGAATCTACACTCTAAAATACGTCTATATAATCTGTATGTAGTTCATATTGAAATTTCTAAAAAGACTTATATTTAGGAACGGAGGGAGTAGATAAATAGTGGATTTTAATTAATTGAATCATTTTGCAATACAGATTTTTTTTACCCATTTTCAAAGAAAAAACCTAGTATTTAGACATTTCTTTTATTTAATTTAATTAATTGAATCATTTTGCAATACAGATTTTTTTTACCCGTTTTCAAAGAAAAACTAGTTTTCAGACATTTCAGGCTTGTGAGCCGGGCTCCGGGCATAAAAGTTGAGGTGTATTAGCTTTTCAAAAGAATATACTACTCCCTCCATTTTAAAATATAAGGTGTATTAGTTATTCAGAAGGTCAAAATTTTCTATGTTTGACCAAGTTTGTAGCAAAATACATCAACACCTACAATATTAAATAAATAAAATATAAAAAATATTTTATGAAGAATCTAATGATAATGATTTGATATAGTTTGTTAAGAACTGAGTCACATGATTGCTCAAGTATAAAATAAGCAAACTTAGCCTCTAACCTCTTGATCTCATGAACCAGCATATATAGTATAACGCAATTTATCCATAGTCGTGGTCAAAGTTAAGAGAAGTTTAACTTATTAAAAAATCGAAAACACTAACGCCCACACGTGTGGGTGTTTCGCCCACACGCGTGGATCCGCGTCCATTTGTGAGCGCATGAATCTTGGCATGTTTCTAGTGCCACGTAGGACTGGGCTGGTGTGTGGGCATTCACCCGGTCGCCCACATGGCCGTTTCAGCACACGGTGGGGCCGGTGTGTGGGCGTTCAACAGTTCGCCCACACGCCACTTTCCACTAACGCACAAGGGCTGGTGTGTGGGTATTTGCCATCTCGCCCACACGCGTCGTCTCCTCTCCCACACCCAAGCTGCTAGTTGCCATGTGTTTTGCAGTGTATATGGCAACTGCCCTAGTGTGCTTGTAAGCAGATGGCAACTCTCTTTTTTTTTTTACCCGAACATGTCAGTTGCCATGCGTTTTGCAGGGTACACGACAACTGTCTAGTGTGCACGTAAGCAGATGGCAACTCTCTTTTACCCGAGTTGCCATGTGTTTCTCATGGTACATGGCAACTGCCCTAGCATGCACGTAAGCAGATGGCAACTCTTTCTTTTACATGGCAACTTCCCTAGCGTGCTTGTGAGCACATAGCAACTCTCTCAACTGCCTATGTTAGTAGGTGGCAACTCCTAAAGTTTTAAAATCATGACAACTGCAGTAGACCAAACCATACATGGCAACTGCAGTTGAGCAACCATGGCAACTGTAGTTGTCCGACATGGCAACCGTAGTTCAGCGACATGGCAACTGCAGTTAAACAAATATGGACGAGGGTCTGGACCATGGCAACTGCGGGCATGCGGTGACTGTCACGCGGGGCGTGCGGGACCATGAGGTACAAGGCCTGACGCACGGGGCGTGTGGACGTTATCTATTTCGCCCATACGCACGCGTGTGAGAGGGATCGGGAGGAAAAAAAAGGTGTGTGTGCATTACTTGTTTTGCCCACATGTAAGTGTGTGGGTTGTTCCTCTTATACACTACACAAAATGTGTGGGCAGACCTTCTAATGCCCACACGTGTGGCACTTATCAGCGTCCTAAAAAATTAGTACACCCTATATTTTAAAACGGAGGAAGTATAATTTTTCATTGATATTTTTTAGAAGAAAATGGCCTCGACCTTGGTTCCATTTTTATTAAAAATGAAACCAAGTATCTGGATACAGCAACAAACTCGCGGTCACAGACTGAACTGACTGTATCTGCACACAAACAGCTAGGGAAATAAAAACCAGGTTCAGCTTGCTCACACAAGGTAAGTTCATATATAGCGCAAAACCATCACAGGGGAGGGACCAGCCAGCAGAAAGCATAAGGAAATCAAGGAGGGAGGGTAGAGCGCAGAAGGCTTAAGCTCCAGGAGCTATCTTCAGCCAGCTCCCCTCACGCACCAGCTTCAGCGATGATTCTTCTGCCAGCTTCGCCGGTCCAGCAATGTTAGCAGCGAACAGCTACCAGGTAGCCATCCTTCAGCCAGGATCTGGCCACATCATAGAGGTGGTGGGCGGCTCTGATATATGGTTGTGAAATCCAAATGCATAAAGATACTTTAATGGGCCTGTTTATGTGGCATCGCCCTCTGACAAATTATGTACTATACTACTCCTGCGAACATCTCATGCTCATGCTCATGCTCATGCGAGATACCATTTGAAGATCATAAATTCATAGAGAAAAATAAAATCCCTCTTTTCAAGCCGTTACGTTGTGGAACGGGAAAGCTGTTAGCTGCCCATAGTGTTTTTTACAGTGCTCCTGTCATGGCATGCCATCTGTACATCGTCTCTCTCACCTTGTCGTGCATTGGTAGCTTGCTCCGACGCAGAGCATGATAGGTAAAGTATGGCACACAATGATTGCAGGCTCTCTTTCCCATTTGAAGATGCTGAGGATAGGTCACTTTCTACTGCCATAGGAGCAGATCCCCAGTACGCTGCCAGCTACGGCCACGCTCTTTTCCATATAGTGCTCACAGACCGGTGTACTTTCTGGCTCTAGCTTGTAGACGAGCCCGGAAAATTATTAGTATAATGCTCCTAGGAAGACACGCTGCTGTAAGACTGTAAAAAGACTGATAAAATTTAGTAGTAGTGCTTAGCAAGATGCGTGCATACTGGCTGTGTTCGTTTGGCCCTTCTGTGTGTTTGGGCTTAAGATGATAATGTTAGATTATCAACTTCGGTTTAATAACAGAGTGCTCTTCATAACATGTAGTCATAAAGTACTAGTAGTACACTTGCTAACGCGTACATTAGCATAAGCCGACATCTTGTTACGAGTACGTACAGCTCATGCTTGACACTTGAACAGCAGCGCCACGTATTCTCTCTCTGTCCCTCTCCTTGGGTCCATATATATGAAGGTCGAGTAGCTTCCAAAAAGAATTCTCGGTATTCTACTTGATAATAAAAAGTAACGCAATTCATAATGGCG